ATCTATCTATCTATCTATCTATCTATCTATCTATCATCTATCTATCTTATATGGATCTATGGATGGATGAGTGGATGGAGAGATAATCGATAGAAAGATATCATTCCATCCATCCATCCAGCCACCCATCCCAACACCAAGGGTTCTTCAACCGAGCGAGAAGGGCCAGGATTTCGAAGGCAAGATGTCACAACCCAAGACCTCCCAACCCAACCCAAGACCTCCCAACCCAACCCAAGACCTTCCAACCCAACCCAAGACCTTCCAGTATCATTTTTTTCTCTCCCAGGCGCAAAAAAGGGAGCCCCAGCCTCGTGTCTTTTACCTTCTCAAAGATGGCCTTGGTGACTGTCACATACTGGTGGAGCTTCTTTTCCCGTTCCAGGCGTTTGGCTTCGGCTTGCTCTTCCGTCGTCTTCACCTTCAGCCTTCCGTGCTGGGGAGGGAGAGGGAAACCAAAGAGAGGCAGTTGAAGATGAGAGACGTTGCTTGGGGGAACCAATGAGGAAAATCAGGAAGGATCCATCAAACGACTAGAACTTGCAAACTTTTAAGACTTGTGGACTTCAACTCCCAGAATTCAACTCTTTCCATTCAGCCATTATATGTCCATCCATCCATCCATAGCAGCATAGCTGACTGGAGAATTCTGGGAGTTGAAGTCCACAAGTCGTAAACTTGCCAAGTTTGGAGACCTCTGGATTAGACAGAAAACTCACCATCTTGACCGACTCCGAAGAAAAGAGGCGAAGAATGAATCGTCTATCCTAGGAAACTGAAAGGAGATAAAGAAATCTCAAGTGATGTTTGCAGCTCAACCATCCAGCAGACAAGCTGGGGATTATGGGAACTAGGGTCCTAAAGAGAAGAACAAACTTGGGGGTCTGATGCAGTCTTGACCTTTCAGATGAGACATCAAGTTTACAACAAACCACGCCATTTAAAAAAAAAAGTATAATTTTCCAGTTTTCAATTTCCCAACAACTCAAGTTCCCTCCCCGTTTGATCTTCCCACCAAGCCTTGAAACTTGACTGAGCTTAAACATGGCTGGTTTGTGGTTAGGGCCTGAAAGGAAAGGTGGGACCTGGTTTTTTACAATCTGGTGAGAAATCCGGTGCAACTATTATTATTATGCAAATAGTTTTCCTTCCAACAACCTCACAAGGGAAATTCAGGAGCAATAAAAAAGATGCCTCCTATTGATTAATTTGGGCGTCTTAACATCTTTTTTTTTTAAAAATCCAAAAATCTGAAGCTGGGTCGTTTCCCATAATGCATTGCCCATCATTGGGGGGCATTGTGGGAAATTTAAAAAAAGAAAGAAAAGAAACTGGACTAGACCCAACCAGGCGGCAATCCTACCCCAAGGACATTGCCCCAATCTGCTAAAACCCCAGGCTCCTTAAACCCCAGATATTGTAGCTAGATTTGTGTTACACCTAAACCAGGTTGCAAACGTGGTTTGATCATTTATGCAAACTCAAGCCACTGTTTTGGGTTCAACCATGTTCAACCAGCCAAGCATGAGTTCAGCCAATCGTGGCTTGTTCAAGAAGTGCAAAACATGCACAGCCTTAAACCAACATGCACACGTTCCCTTTAGCACGTAAGCTTTTTGACTGGCTCAGAAAGCAAACATACTCGAACCAAACCTGGGGGCGGTAGTTTGAGGGCCCCCTACTCATTTTACCTTCATGCACAACCCCCCCTCCCCAATTGCCTTTGCATTAATACACAATCAGCTACATTCAGAGAAGCCTCACCAATTCCTTTCCTAGTTCCTTCCCCTCCAGGAAGCCGCGAAGTGGTCTCTCCCGGAAATGTCTACATTGATTTTCGACGGGGCGAGACCATTCGGAACGCACCCGCGGGGGTGTAGAAGCGAAAAAGAGGCGCAGGCTAATCCTAGCAGCCCCTAGGGGGCGATACCAACCGGACGGTGAGGAAAGAGGGGGGATACGTGGAGAATATGAAATCGGTCGGTGCCGAGTGGTCTCGTCCGCAGGGATTCGGCGAGCAAAACGGGTCCCTTCGGGCGAATCCAATTGAGGGAGAGAGAGGGGAGATACGGATGGGAGCTACCATTGATGTCCGAAGGCTATCGAGTTGAAACCTCCCGGCGGGACGGAGCGTTCTCGTTCTTAAAGGGACAGCCTCAGTTTTGAATTGTACAGATAGTGCTCTACTTACGACCACAGCTAACCCCCCCCCCCTCAAATTTCTGTTGCTAAGTAAAACATTTAAGTGTCCTATTGTACAACCTTTCTTGCCACAGTTGTTAAGTGAACCACTGCAGTTGTTAAGTAAGTAACCTTATGCCACCAGACTTGAAATTCTAGAACTAGAAAACCTTGAATTACGCCGTCTTCGGTCTGATTTAAGCATGGTATATAAAATCATACATTGCAATGTCCTACCTGTCAATGAATACTTCAGCTTCAACCATAACAACACAAGAGCACACAATAGATACAAACTCAAAGTAAACCGCACCAAACTTGATTGCAGGAAATACGACTTCAGCAATAGAGTGGTCAATGTCTGGAATACTCTACCCGACTCTGTAGTCTCTTCCCCAAACCCCAAAAACTTTAACCTTAGACTGTCTACTATTGACCTCACCCCTTTCCTAAGAGGTCTGTAGGGGGCGTGCATAAGCGCACCAACGTGCCTACCGTCCCTGTCCTATTGTTTCTCTTATTCTTCTTTTATTTTTCTTATATGTACCCATTTCATGTATTCACAACTATGTATACACTTATACTTATTATCTTGTAAACAATTGGCAAATCAAATAAATAAATAAATAAAATAAATAAAGTAACACGGTTAAGTGAATCTGGCTTCCCCATTGGCTTGGCTTGTCAAAAGGAGATCATGTGACCTTGGGACACAGCAATGGTCATAAGTGTGAACCAGTTGCCAAGCTGTGTAAGTTGAGGACTACCTGTATTGAATGGAATCTCCACCCCCACCTATCTTTCACACTCTTAAAGGAAGGAGAGTTCATTACAAACTCCTGTTGAAGTGAAAGCTGGGCTGCTGGATTGTACTAAACATGGCCTGTTCAATAAATCACAATTACCTTGGTGTGCACTAACCTTGTTTCACAAACCAGCATGGCTGAGATTGCATGCAGAGGCCAAGCAGTTACATACAATTTAGTGTTCGGTAAACCAGTGTTTCTCGACCTCAGAAACTTTAAGATGGGTGGACTTCAACTCCCAGAATTCCCTGCTATTTGAGGGGCTGCCCCAAAGAAGAGGGGCTCAAGCTATTCTCCAAAGCACCAAAGGCAGGAGAAGAAGCAACGAATGGAAACCAATCAAGGAGAGAACCAACCTAGAACTAAGGAGAAACTTTCTGATGGTGAGGACAATTTACCAGTGGAACTGCTTGCCACCAGAACTTGTGGGCACTCCGTCACTGGAGGTTTTTTAAGAAGAGACTGGACAGTCACTTTTCTCAAAGGGTATGGGGGTCTTCTGCTTGAGCAGGGGGCTGGACTAGAAGACCTCCAAGGTCCCTTCAAACTCTGTTATTCAACCAGTTGGTATCAGAATTTCACATTCTTGCTTGTTACTTCAAAGGGACTAGAAACAGTAATCAAAGGCGCTCCTCGTTCCTGAAAACAGTTATTCAATGAGGGTTGTCATCAGCTTCCCCGAATCCGGGGCTAGATAAACAAATATATTATTCTGCACCCTTGTTTCCTTTGTCTGAAATTCCTGGAACGTCTGCCAGCACCCTAGGGTTGTTTAAATATTTGGCATGGAAATAATAATTTCCAAGTATTTACAGGCTGACCAATCACCTGTCCCAGTTAATCAAATATCGGTCAGAAAGCAAACCAGGACATGATTTAGTGCCGCAAAGCCGAAAAAAAATCGATCGATTTGGGCACCTGATCAGCAGGCTGAGGAAAGGACATGCAATGCTCACCAGTACGGTAAATACCTCAATTTACAACACTTTGTTTAGTGAGCGTTTTACAACGACACTGAAAAAAAAGGGACTTATGACTGTTTTTCGCACTTACGACCATTTCAGCATCCCCAATGTTATGTTATTCATGCACTTGGCCACTGACTTGTGTTTATGACGGCTGCAGTGTCCTGGCATCTTGAAATCTCCTTTTGCGAGCGAAGTCAATGGGGGAAGCTGGTTTCACTTAACAACTCTGTGACTCACTTAACAACTGCAGGGATTCACTTAACAAACATGGCAAGAAAAGTCGTTATATGGGGCGAAAAATGCACTGAACAAATGTCCCGCTTAGCCACATAAATTTGGGGCTCTATTGTTGTTAGCTGAGGACTACCTGCACATACACCTGAGCTAAGAAATGTGGCTTTTGAGTTGTGTCATGAAATGTTTCTCAACCTTGGCAACTTTTAAGATGGGTGGATTTCGATTCCCAGAATTCCCCAGCCAGGTGGGTGAGGCTGGGAATTTGGGGGAATTTCCATGATTGAGTTTTCAAGGCCTCCCCTTAATTGCGACGAATTTACTTGCCGTTTTCAGCAGTCGATCATGTCAGAATGTGAGTTTGCTATGCGCCGAGGATTTCCCACAAAACCTTAGCAAAGACAGGCTTACAACCCTTCACTGAGTGACGGCCTTCTCATTCCTTCTCATCTCCCTTCCTTCCCTCCCTCCCTCCCTCCCTCCCACAGGTGGTATTCAGCAGGTTCTGACCAGTTCTGGAGAACCAGTAGCGGAAATTTTGAGTAGTTGGGAGAACCGACAAATGCCTCCTCTGACTGGCCCTGCCCCCATCTATTCTCTGCTTCCCGAGTTGCAGCTGATCGGCTGGGTCTCCTTTGGTTGCCCTGCAATGGAGAGAATGGAGCTGGAAAGCAGGTTAGTGGGGTGGGGAGGGAATGGGGATTGTGCAGTAACCTTCCCCTGCCACGCCCACCAAGCCACACTCACAGAACCAGTTTTGAATCCCACCCCTGCCCCCTCCCCCTTCCTTCCTTCCTTCCTTCCTTCCTTCCTTCCTCCCTCCCCCTTCCTTCCTACCTCCCCCTTCCTTCCTTCCTTCCTTCCTACCTCCCCCTTCCTTCCTTCCTCCCTTCCTCCCCCTTCCTTCCTTCCTTCCTTCCTTCCTTCCTTC